TGATCCTGACGTCTTTCCCAGCCCGCTCTTGGCACTGCCAGCACTCCACAAACTCCTGCGTACTGCTTCGCAGGTTCTCGAGCGCGCATCCCATGATGGATGGATCGGAATGGTGACCCTGGTTGTGCTTGTCACAGGCGTCCTCTGGCATTGCCACAGAGTTCTCGAGGTTCCAACTGTTGTGCTACACGTTCCTCCGTCAGACCCCGTGGCAGGTTGCGCCGTTGCATGGTTCCACCGGCAAAAGCCGTGACAGCAACCAGTGACACCATCGCAAGCTTGAAGGGGCAGCCGTGCAGACTAGCTCGTGCATTCAGCGGTGGTGCCCTTTTTGCGAACGGGTAAAATTCCTGCCTTTTGGACATCCTGCCATGATCCGAGCAGCTACATTGGAGATTGTTGATGTTGTGGAAAGTCGCTGCCGGGGAAAGACCTAGCCGAAGACCGCACAGCCATGCTATCAGTTGAACCCTGTAGAAGCAGTACAATCCTGTTCCCAAAACCTCGCGCCGCTAAGCCGGCACTACAGAAGCTTCTCAACAGAAGCTTTGTCCGAAATGTAGTTTCAAGGACGGAAGAGGCTCTCAGATTGCGGAAAAGGGTTGGAAGGCGAGGACGAGTGCTCTTCTTGCTGCCTCTTGCCCTTTCTCCTCCTGCTGGGAGATGGCCGTTCTCTTTAGTCTCGTGTGTTGTTTTTAGAGATCATGCGTCAGCAGGGCCACTGATGCTGTCTACCAGGCTCGCTCGATGCAAAGGTCGTTGCCTCCACCTGTACAGCAATGGGCTGCATCAGGCGTCCTGCGCCGCTTTAAAACGTCCCTGCATTTTGCGGTTCTTCAGCTAAAGTCTTCGAGCCTCAAGCCTCACGAGGCGTACACAACTTCATCATTCAAGGCTCACATAGGGTCCCAGCGTCAAGAGTGGTGAACCGTGATGCGAAACCGGAAGGGCCACGCCCTGCCGGCAAGACGGCATCAAAATCTCTTCAGTCTTATTCTGTGGAGGACCGAGTCGCCGGAATTCCAGAGGACTCGTCGTAGCGCTTCTGCGACGCCAGATTGCTCAAGTCTGATGTCGTAGGACTGATAGCAGAATAGTGGTGGGGCAGTCCTCCGAGAGATGATTCGTTTTCGCTGCCTTTGGTTGCTTGCCTGGCGTGCTGCTAGTTTCTCGGACTGCAGCAGTGTTTCGTTCCTTCAATACTTCCACTCTGTTGGCTTGGGGTCTTCTCGCCAACGAGTGACTCATGAATCCGTGGGTTCAGTGGTTCACATGATGTTGTATCCATGACCTGCATAGATGGCACAGACTCGCAAAGACTCGCATAGACAGCAGATACGTCCGCATGCTGATTCGGAGCGTCACGATGCCCTTTCCAGTTTCTGGGGTCTCCCGCTGTTGCTGCGCTATGCTAGACGGAGGTCACGTCGTAAGATAGTATTAGTCCCGACGTTCTGACGACTGGCTCCAGTGAGTTCCTGATAGGTACCTTAGGTAGGACTTCCCAAACATCAAGCTGTGCAGCTTTGTGTCCATGCTCAACCCATCCAACCCACCTCGGGAAACCTGGCCCTTTGACAATGTCACCCTGTGCAGGCCAAGGTCTGTACATTCAAGTGCTGTTATTGCCTGCTTCGATTTTGGCATGCTGCATTCTTCCAATAGACGAGCACCTCGGTCGTTTTGCCAGGTCTGTTGAACGTCTGTTCTGTTGCTGTTGCCGTGGCCGTCGTTGTGGCTGTGCCTGTGGCTGTGGCTGTTTCGTTGTTGCGATGTTTCGCTCTCACAGTTGCTGGTGCTGTTGCTGTTGCTGTTGTTGTTGTTGTCGTCGTCGTCGTCGTCGTCGTCGTCGTCGTCGTTGTTGCTGTTGCTGCTGCTGTTGCTGTCATTGTTCTGGTTGTTGCTGGTTGTAGGTTGTGGTTGGGGTTGTGGTGGTTGTTGTCCTCGTTGTCGTTGTCGTTGTCGTTGTCGTCGTGGTCGTGGTCGTGGTCGTGGTCGTGGTCGTGGTAGTGGTGGTGGTCGTGGTCGTGGTCGTGGTCGTGGTCGTGGTCGTGGTCGTGGTCGTGGTCGTGGTCGTGGTCGTGGTCGTGGACGTGGTCGTGGTCGTGGTCGTGGTCGTGGTCGTGGTCGTGGTCGTGGTCGTTGTTGTTGTTGTTGTGGTTGTGGTTGTTGTGGTTGTTGTGGTGGTTGTTGTTGTTGTAGCCGGCACGGACCAGGCCGCCGCGCAGTTGGAGGCAACAACGGGCTTTGGGCGCAACCTTCTTTCCTAGAGGTTCCAACCGGGC